TTTTTTTTTAAAAAAAAAAAAAATAAAATAAAATGACTGGATTATCTGATCAATTCAGTCATCCGCATAATGTCCGATTAATCTGATATTATCTGAGGATCACATCCGGATTATTCGCGATCCATTCATTCATAATCTGAATAATCCATTTTTTGATTAGATCAGATGATGGATTGAACAGATTTCACCGGAGTATACCTTTAGAAAGGATTGCAAACTGTCTTTAAAACTGTTAGATTTGAAGAACAATGGGAAGCAAAATTTGTAGACTTACTAACTTTCAAAGGAGAAATCAGGATTCTTATGATTGGTTAGAAAGATATAACAATGCTGAGAATGCAAATGGAATTTCTAACAGATGACGTCTTACATTAGTCCCATCATTTTTGAAAAGATCAGCTCTCACTTAGTACAATAAAACTAAGAATGAAAAAGATTTACAGTATTGGGATAATTCGACTGATCAGCAGCATAAATATCATTCCTTTATCTATCACTTCTTGAAATATTACTGTATAATTCATCAGAGAACGCAATAGCATTCAACACTTAGACAATGTAAACAACGTCCTGGACAATCAGTTGAAGATTATGCCACCAATGTTGAATCATTATACCTTAAATTAGACACTGACTATAATACGTCAGAAGATGAGAAAATTGAACAATTTTTACAGGGGCTTGTCTAGAATTTCATACTACTATTGCTGCTGCTACACTTCATGACTTAGAAGAAGCAGTTGATTGAGCATGAGCTATCAAAGCAGTATTATCTAAGGATAGTACAGTTTGTTTCACAATAAGCCATCCAATAAAATTATCAAACTTAAAAATGAAATAAAAAATTTTCTAATGCATATATTTAAAATATCTTAACGTAGATCTATAGATATTGACTAGTGCTATAAAGTGACGTTGAGATTATTTCAATTGATAACGTATATCAAAAGTTATTAACTGATAAAGTTTAGGTATTTTCTTAAGGTGAAATGAAATTTGAAACATATAATCCCAGCCCAAATTAAATTTGAAATATATATCCTGTCCTTGAATTATCAAATTTATGGAATGTTATAAAAAAGGGTCAATAGGTTTATAAGCTATATGTTTTATAAAAAATATAAATTACACAGAACTGTTTCAGATTTTAGTTTTGAAAATATTGATAAATTGATAAAATAAAGTTTATTCTCAGTTTAAACTTTATTGTTAGATTATATTATCATGTTATTTATGTTTTAGCCAATTATAAATCGGTATTATATTTATCACGTGATTATATAAATTTTGAAATTTGAAACATATAATAAATATTTAATGGCTTTTTATGGAACACATTATACACTTTTTGGATATTCCTTAAACAAGGCATATCTGAATCAAAAGGATGACAATGCTGTTGAAAATTTCACTACTACCCCTAACATTCAACAACTTATCGATTGAAATAATGATAAGCTAATAAAAGAATTTAAGCAATTGTTAATTACCTCAAATACTACGCCACGTGCTCAAAACATTAGCCCACACCTAGCTAATACAAATAACAATTGGAGGAATAATAATAGTAATAATAATAATAGTAATCGAAATAACTAAAGTTGTTATAATTGTGAATGACCTGGCCATATCACTAGGATTGTAGGCAAAGAAATAATCCAGAAAGTCAGAACAATAATGGGAATAATTGATATAATTTGACTAATAGGCCTAGTACAGGGATTACTTGTCATAGTTTTTACTAAAAGGAACATATTTCTAGAAATTGTAATAATCCGCCAAGAGAACCCTGTTCACATTGTAGACAATTTAGACATTGAGGATATGTATGCCTGACTAGGAACATGAATAATCCTATTAAAAATACTAGAGGAAATGTTAATATGCTAACTGGCTTCAATACCGGATAATGTACTGCATTATCACAAACTACACCAATGTATAGCACAAGCTTTACTCTACTATCACAAATCTCCAGGACCTTCTCTCTGCCAAATTCACTGTCAGCAAATACTCAAAACTCGTTTGCCTCTTCGTCCTAATCTTTAAACTATTGACGGTATCTCAGAAGGGTGAGTGTACCAATAAAAATATAAACCCTCAGAACTACTAAAAGTTGTAGAAGCAGTTTATTATAATGCTACTGTGAACAATAAACTAATATATTTAATTTTAGATTCAAAATCGGCTGGAAGTGTAATGTCTAAATCTTTTCTACAACAATTAAGGTGAAAAATCAAATCAGCTTCTACTATCATGATGATCAACATATAAGGAGGACGATCACAACCTTTAAGACGAGTTACTAATATTCCTTTACAAATAAATGGTATAGAAGTCCTTATTAATATTGATATCACAAAATCAACTGATTATTATATAGTGGCAGAAAATGATTGGCTTACCAAATATCAAGGATGACTTTATTGGGACTATCAAAAATTTATATTTCTCTAGAATAATAAAGAATATCAGATACCTATAACCTATTAGGAGAAACCACAGTTCGATCATTTCCAGCAACCTGTTAACATTGTTCAAAATTCCTCTGATGAAGAATATGAAAATGAGGAATTAATAGTTCAATGACACTATATGATATTAGAAGATCATAATGATTCTATTCCTTTGGCTAAAAGTAACTTAAAACAAACTTCAGTAGATAGACAGAAATATTCCTCTCAGTACTTTGAAAGTTTAAACCAGAAATTTAATGTTCAACCACCCAAAAATTTTAAATGGAAATATCTTTAGTAAGGATCAGGAAATCGATGTTGGTGCCATAATAAATTAGATAAAATTGATGACAACTGCCAACTGTATAAGAAAGAATAAAATCACTGGCAATTACTATAAAATATTTCAGATGAATTACCATTTTGTGAAACGAATTATAAACATCTTAATGGACCTCAATAGCAACAAATCACTCAATTTTTACATAAAAATAGTGATGCATTCGCTGAAGATTTATCACAATTGGAACATACAATGATTGAAATGCATCATATACTAGTAGAAAATCTGATGCTTATACAACAGCGTGCATATAGAGTAGCTCTCTTGAAACAAGAATTTATCAAGGATGAAGTTAGTAGGATGTTAAAATATAACTTGATACAACCTTTTGAAAGTCCATGGACTTCACCTGTTATTCTCGTTCAGAAGAAAATGGAAAACTTTGGTTTTGTATTGATTACAGGAAACTTAATAGTATTACTCAACGAAATAGACATTCTTTACTACATATTAATGAACTGTTGGATATGTTTGGTAAAGCTAAGTATTTCTCAACCTTAGATTTAGCTAGTAGATATTAGCAGGTTGCTATGGACCCAAATGACCAAGCCAAAATAGCTTTTATAATGAGTCAAGGACTCTATGAATTTAAAGTAATACCGTTTGGATTAATAAATGCATCTACCACTTTCCAACGTTTAATGAATAAGATTTTTAGGAAAGAGATTAGACAGTTCATAGCTGTATATCTTGATGATATTATCATTTTTTCAGATATCTTTGATACACATTTGCAACATTTACAGCTTATTTTTAAACGATTAAAGGATGCTGGACTCAAACTTGAAAAAGATAAATGCGAGTTTGCTAAGTTAAAATTAGCATTTCTAAGACATATTGTGAGTGGACAAGGAATCTCATCAGATCCCTCTAAAATAGATAAAATTAAGAATTTTCCAATCCCAAAGAATATTACTGAGTTGCGAGGATTCCTAAGACTAGCAAGGACCCCTAAATATGAAAAATTTTATATAGTAAACTCTGTCTGAAAAATAGGCAAAGTGTACAGTCAAATTTAATTAAAATGTATAACATCAACAAAAATAAACTTAAAGTATATGACGAAAATGTTATATTTATTGAGAATTTTAGTTAAAATATACTATAAACTATAGAATTTAATTGCAATGTGTACGACATATTTAATCATCATTATCATCATTTTTTTTTGTATTTTTCATAATTTTTTTAGCATTTACAATGCCATTTTCAATACTAGTTATAATATTTTGCCAATGATAGTATGATGTTAATTGCAGATCAGATAACCATAATACTTTATCTGCTTATTTTGATGTATTACAAAAATAACTTTTAATATCACCTAAAGCTGCAAAGAATCGAAATGAATATATTTCGCATACATATTGTGTCCTATTATTTTCCATTATTGGTATGAATTCATAATCAGAATTAGGCGTTAAGTCAAAAAGTCTAGTATGAATTTGACTAGCATCCACTCCATCTAGCATTTTAGCTCTAACATAACTTGTACCGCATTTCTAAATTGATAATTAAATTTAATTCAATTGTAATATTTAAATTTTAAATTTTATAAAATTTCAAACTTACTACAAATACTGCTATAATTTCTGCAATAAAAATCGATGATGTTTTATTCACAAAAAAAAATAATTTTCAGCTTTGAATTTTAATGACTGTGGATTCAGTTTTATAATTTTAAATATTTTTTTATATGCAGTAGTCCATTGTGAAGTACGTTTTTTTGTCCTAATTGGTTTATTACCAGCATATATTCGTTCATATCTTAAAGCAGTTGCCAATTCAATTAAACCATTATCAGTTTCAACTACAAAATTCTTTTGATTATTTGCTGTCTTATTGTTGAATTTTTGATGTTCTTTTTGTGTATACTGATCAAAAGTAGCTAAAATTTAATAAAAATGTAAATTAAAATTTTGTAGACATTATATTATAACTTCATACTATACATACATATCACAAATTTCTTTTATTTTTTGCATAACAAAAAGATAGTCTATGGCATTTTTTTTCTGTACATTGTAATTAATAATATCAAAAAATGAATTATCTACAGTATTCAAATGAAATTCTTATTCAAATTCTTCATTTTCAATTATTAATTAATTTCCATCAAGACAATTTGAAATATTACGCTTTATTATAATATGACGTTGATGTTGCAATAGCATTTGATTAATTTGATCATCTTCAGAGATTTAAAAATCATTAGACGGGTTTTCAAATTGAGCTGCTTCGTCATTATCATCAGTATCGCTAGTTGAATCATCAAAGTTACAGTTATATTTTAAAGTATGTAAAGTGTTCTGAACAATAGAAGTATATTTAGTTAATTCATAATTGATTCTAATGCTTTGTAAAATTAAATTCATTGCTTTCAAAACCTATAACAAATATTGGTTCTTATTAATAATAATTATATTACATAGTTAAAACTTGATTTACAATACAAACTTTTAACATATTAGAATCTATGTCAAATATATTAGAAAATTCTAATAAAGTCTTTGCGAGTTTATCTTTTGCAGTTCTATAACAAATATTGGTTCTTATTAATAATAATTATATTACATAGTTAAAACTTGATTTACAATACAAACCTTTAACATATTAGAATCTATGTCAAATATATTAGGAAATTTCAATAAAGTCTTTATGAGTTTATCTTTTGCAGTTGAAAGATGAATATTATACTCATCATTATTATCTAGTCTTATTAAGTTTCCTTAAATAATAGTTAAAAAAAAAATAATATTTTAAAAATTTACATAAAATTAATTAAAAAAACTTATACCTTTCATTTCAATTGAAATTGTTTAAAAATTTTTTCGTTCATCATTAAAAAATCTAAAATAGTAAAATTTTTAATTATTTGCCGTGTATAATCAAATATATGTTCTAAAAAAGTAGTAAAGATAATCTATGAACATAATGGAATCCTAGGATAATAACTTAGAAAATGATGAATTAGAAGAATTAAAGTAGTGTTAAGATAAATAAAGTCATCATTCGATTGTCAAGATATACTGTATTTTTGAGAATTTCGTTGGTTTTTATTTGACATTAAATAATACCGTATTATGACAAAAAATATTGTTACTACCCATACAAATCGAATCCTATTTAGATGATCTATTGTACGAGATTTCTATGATTCAAATAATAATTCTGCAAAGAAATGATAAAGAGCATCTCCATAAAATGAATCATCATTATATTCAATAACATGTTAAAATATAGCTAAAAGAGCCAATATATTAGTTAAACCTTTTATTAATTATTTCAATATCAAATAATTAGAATAAAATTATTTTATACTTTTTAATACATTAGAAGAAAAAAATTTTTCAGTAAGCTCATCTGCTTGTTTATCTTTCAGATTTAATATTTCATTTGTTAAACCTAACTTATTTCTGTATTTTTCTTTTAGATACTAAAGGTGTTCTGTTAACATAATAAAATTACTAATTGGACAAATATACATACTTCTATTATACATATTTCAAGCTTTTAAAATATTTATTTTATTAGTTTGCAAATTATAAAAAAAAATGCTATACAGTTAATAAGAATCTTCAAATTACCTTTTTTAACACAATGAAAAATATTAGTTCCACTAATTAAAGGTTGGCAATTATTAAATATTCCCATTTCAATTGGAAAATTTCTTATAAAAGGTGTTATATTATCCTAAAACTATTAAATAATATTACTAAACAAGAATTAATATTAAATAATAAAAGTTATTATATACCTACAAACATGATATTAAGATCAGAAAAAACTAACGAATTTTTATTATACGTTTCACCTATCCAAGATCAATCATGTGCAGCTCCATTAAAATAAAGACCAATAGGTTTTGCATTTGATTTTATTAATTCTTTTAAAACTGTATTGTTTTTAAAAAATGCATCAGCTTTAGTTTTTTTTTAATTAGATAGTATAACAACTAATACTAATGGTAGAATACCCAGTAAAACAGCTAATAATGCAAAAATGGTAACATATGTTACCTTTTCAAATGATGAAATTTTGGCATGAAGTTCCTCAGCAGTCATTGAATAAGGTATTATTGAAGTATCAATTGGAACTGATCCTACCCATTGTTAACGTATCCTGCAAACTTCAATTATTTCAGCAACTTTGTTTTGATCTTTTGCATATATTGTTAGATCATAATAATTATATACTAATCGCTAAATTATAATAAGCTCTGAAAATACATTAGAATTAATCCCATGAATATTAAAAAATCTATTACCTTCATTTCTTTTCTTGCATACTAATCAGATTGTTAGACCAGCTAGATTTGTGATAATCTATTGAACTGATAATGTATTGATTGACATCAATACAATAAGAAAATCAACAAAACTTTCATTGTATTAACCAATTCTGTGTATTGATGTTATATTACATTTTATTTTATCAAGGATTTTGGTAACTGCTTGCACTATGCCAACAAAATCTGGACGTTGTTCATCCATAGTCTTATTAATCATAAAAGTTGCACATTTTTCACTTCAATCTTCAAGTCCATTTGCTTCAATAGCTTCAAGAATTTGGCTAAGTACAGGATATGATTTTATAAGTAAAAGATAGGATTTATCTTCAAGTTCAGTATTGAGATAATTAAGTAGGCCTTTGAGAACATCAGATGTAGCTGTTCCAGGCCAGTGCTTAATTGTTTTTGTAATAATTTTATAAAGCTGTTGACAATTCATTGTTAACCATTCACTATTACTAAATTGTCTATGAAATTTTTTTGGAATTTTTTTTCCTTCTTTAAGAAGAATTAAAGAATTGATTTGAGAAATTAGGATTTACATGCGACGATTACATTTATTAAAAGCTTCATTAAAAGCCAAAGATGCACATGTTAAACAAATCGCACTCGAGTTTTCCCTTCACAATTTTCATGTTTGAAATATCCTTTTGCCTTTTCAACACCATTAAAAAAAGTATCATCTCATAAAATTTGATAATTATTATCTTTAGTCCTATACTTTACTAATACAGCATATTTATAAGAAAAAAAACCATTACAAGCTAGTTTATTAAATAAATAAAATAAAATATTGTTAAATGATAGTATCAGATATATATTTAATAAAAATTAAGCAATAATATTACCTTTGTATTGTGAATTGCTTTCATTATTATCAAATTAATCATCAATACTAGTAACAAATTGAGTAAGGAAGGTTGTTCGTAGTTTTTTATGTATTCTTTTGTCTGCATTTGCTTTATTATTGATATGTAATTGAGTATTAATATGCATTTATAAGCGATCTCCATCATTAGGATGATGCAGTGTAATTGATTTTCCTGTATCACAATAATGATAATATACATGTTTTTCATCCAACTTCTCAAAATTATCATCAAGAAGTATATCATTTAATTTCTGCTTTGAAGTATTTCTTTTTTCATAAGTAATATTAGGCTCTCATTCTTCTTTTCTTTTTTTGGTATAAGTGAACATAAACAGATAACATATTTTCCTTTTTCTTTTTCTTGACTTGTAGTAGGTTCAGTAGATACAGGAAAATAAAGTTTAGTCTAAACAAACGTTTTTTTATTTGCTTTTTGGAAGATTCACCATTTATAGTAATTCCTAAAATATTCAAAATAAAAATTATTACTGTTAACGTGCAATCTTTTCAGACTATTTGCTTGTATCATCTAGTCACAGTAAATTTTATAAGCTATGTTTGGTCTGTTATTAAAAAATAAATACTAACATTTTAAATAAAATCTCTTCATTTTTATGTTATTTATAATCTATAATTTAAATTAATGAAGAGATTTTTATAATCTGATTATTAATTTGAGAGGAATAAGAATTTATTTCTAATATGTGTCATGAAATTTAGCACCTGAAGTAAATGAATATGATTGGTCAATCTTACATTACTTAATCACGTGCATTTTGCAAAAGTCAGCATTTTTTTGAACTAAATTATATTGAGATTAATTTTTGATTTAAATAAAGTTTTAATCTTTTTTTTAGCAACTTTCTTTTTGTGCGGCATTAACTTTAAAAACTTTGACACCACTTTTTTTTTTAATGTTTAATGAAAAAAATGACTTGGGCTCCTAATTTTTGCTTTTTAAATTTTATTGGTGCATAATTTGCACACCTTTTATAAAAAGGAGTGAGAAAAAAAAAAATGTAAAACTTCATCCATAAGATGATAGGACGTCGGTCAAAGCAAAAAAAAACATTTAAAACAAATATCTTCAAAGAATAAGCTAATTATTGTCAAAGATTTTCTATTTGAAGAGGATTTGTCATCTGATTCTGAAATATCTTCTGATGATGAGATTATGTGAACAGATTCTGAACTTGATAATGAACTTGAAAATACGTTAAAAAAGCTGCTTTTCAGTATAAAAAATATCAAACCTAAATGACCACTTTGATATATAAGTAATAGTATTCAAACTCAAAAAAGACGCAAAGCAGCTGCAAAAAAATGGCCATACAAAATGGCAATACTATTACACAATTTTTTTCTCCTGTACAAAATGAACCTGACATACAAACGGATGATGCTTATTTAAATGAATTGGAAAGTCATGATGATATTGATTTACCATCCACAGAGTCAGAAATAAAAAGTGATTTTGATAATAAAATTAAATTAATAAAGTTAATTCCATTTATAGAAAAAAAACTTTAAGATGAGATTCTATTACCTGAACAAAAATGGTGATTAGGAGCTGTACTTCAATATTGTCGATGCTGTCAATTAAATATCAAAAAAATGGAAGCCAGCCTTTTTGTTGCA